GGCCCCCCCCAGCCCGGACAGGCTGCAGCTGAGTTAGTCGTTCCCTGGAAGTTGACGCAGCGGCTTGTTACAGTCGAAGCTCTTTCCGCTAAGTAGTTACCTGCGGTTTCACTGGCATCTGAGCCGTCCCAGAGGACAAGCGAGTATTTCTGCCTCGTCAGACAAAATTAAACAAAAATGAACTGTTGATGCTGTAAAACTGAAATGACCCAAAGCAAAGCTCAGTCCTCCTTTGGTGTTTTTCCAGTCGGTTTGCAACTGTCATTTCCAGTATTACGCAAACCAAATGTGCTGTTACTGGTTTTATGACCATTATACAGCCAGAATAAAACACGTGGCTTTCCTTGACAGTTACTTGGAAATGCCATTTCCCAATAACTTCATAGTTGTTTGCAAAAATGCAGATGTGTAACTTTATATTTAATGGGAGCTATTGTTATCTGCCGTGCCCAGGAGTGCTACTTTTATATTACTTCAGACTTTGAACCAAGAACAAGTTCTTTGAAAGCTGATATAAACAACACTAGATTGCCCTGTTCAACTGAAAAGCCATCAAGTATGAACTTGTATACCCACAAGCTGAACTTCGCACCCAGCTTGTGAAAAATATGTTTTAAATAAAACTACATAAAGAAGCAAGAAATGAAAAATTAAGTCTCATAAAACTGTGTAAAAAAGAAGACTGAGTGGCAGGGAGCGTGGGGAAGGTCCTGGCTTCTATGAAAACTTTTACAGCATTTTCCTTTCTCCGGTATTGCTTTTAGTGGGCACAAGGGGGGTTATTCTTTTTTAGAACTGGAAAATAATTAATTTAGTGTTCTGGAAGTTGTGAAAGGAAGACTTAGGGACGAACTGATCTCCTGTTCAGGGGAGAAGAAAAGCAATAGATCATGTCAAACAGGCCACGATGCTTTAAATAACAGCGAGCATGGGGAGGAAGGCAGGCAGATGATCTGAGATTCACTATTAACAGGACAAAATAACACTAATTATACTTAATTAAATAAAGTAAGTATAAAATAAATATATTATTATTTTATATAATAGCAGCACAGGATAGGATGGTTTAGACATCAGGAAAACCTCAAATAGCCAGAACGTTCTGATTGTAAATTCTTGTGTGATATCTCACAGAGGAGTTTTGTAACGCTTAATATAAAGATTACAAAAACAGCAAAGCAAAGGGATTTTCAGCAATAGGAAATGCCATTTTTTTCCCCTTTGAATCTCTCTCATTTTCCTCGATTAGTCTCAGCTGAACAAATGAACATGCTGTGTGTGAAATTCAGTTAAACATACTTATCCATGTATACTAGCAACACGAGAATGTGGTTTTCTCCAAGCATCTACCCACGTGTCTCTGCTGTTCTTTGGATCATGTTCTAAGTGTCCTGGAGATTATAACAGAGAATGTGAAACTCATTGATTAGTGCATTTAAAAAAAAAGGTATGAATATGATGAAGTAAGTTTTTCCTGTTATTTTCACCCATTATGATGCCTTAACACAGCCAGTACAGAAGTGACTGCCATGTGGAGTAGAAATAATCATACAGCTTTAACCACCCGGCTTGGCCATCAGCAGCAATATAGCTGAGAGATGCTGAGCTACAAGCTCTGTCCTACACTGTAGTAAAGAAATTCTCCAAATGAAAAATTCAGAGGTGCCATCTTGTGGATGATGAAAAAAATACAACTAAGTAACAAATAGGCAGTATCTCACTTTTAATATAGTAAATATACAGTAACTTTGAATTACAAGATCACTTCCCAATGAAACTACTAGCAAAAACATCCACAGAAAGTTCAAATAAATAAGAACACGTGATTACCAACATCAAAAGCTGGGCTGCAAATTCTCAGTTAATAGAGTTCCAGTCTTTCCAGATAGAGTGGTCTGTTTAGTTATTTTTCAGAAGAAAACCCACTAATGCCAATGGGAGCAACAAAGACTCAATACATTTAAAATAAGGCAAAAAATAGTACATTATAGGCAATTTCATACTGTAGAAATTTCAACTATAATATCAGATCCAAAAAAGGTATCACATACTGACTGAAAAAACTCTGTCAAAATACTCTCAAACTTCCAACAAGATCCTTTAAATAGCAAATACAAGATGAAAGTTACCTCAAACAACAATAAATGGAACTCAGAAAGGACGCAAGCAATAACTGGATTCTGGCATAATAAAGCAGTCTGGAGTCAAACAAGACAGTTTAGATCAATGAAATAAGCATAACCATCCCCTGCAGCATTATACCCCTCTGCCGTCCTGTTGGGCACGGGTCAGCAGCAAAAAGCAGATGGGCACCGGCAGCACACGGGCACCGGCAGCACACAGGCGGTAGGGCCGGGAGCTACGGGGAGATGGGAGATGCCCCCTGGGAGAGGGGCATCGGTGGGAGATGAGAGCTCCCTACTTCTGGCAACCTGTTCATTCTAAGCTCAACTTTCTCAGAACGAATACTGCTGAGCCTTTTTGCCTCTGTGAGAAGCACTATCACCTCACGGCCCTGAATTCGTACCAGCAAACAATCTCTCATTTGGAACAAAAAATACAGTCCACCTTATCAGTCTTAACAAGTAGCCACCCCATGATTTAGGATACTGAACCAGCAGCAGGGATTGGTTTGAGTCTTCCTTGCAAGGCTCTTCCACTTGAGGAAGACGTGAAGCCCCTCTTCCCAGAACGGTATGCATTGCTCACACAGCGAAACCCCCCCCTTTGGAGCATGAATTCTGAGGAACTGCAGAAGCTTGATACCCGTACTGCTAACAGAATGAGGATCTGGAGGCATTGTGCAGAAACTTCAGAACTGCTGTACATAACCGAAAGCTACCACAAGGTGCAAGGGGGTGCGAGGGAGGTAAAACTGACCACAGTATTTCACTGCGGAGATGTAAGTAATGGAGAAAAAAGAAACATGTCAAGAGAAAAACAATATTGCTTTAAATTCTTCACGTTATGCATTAAAAATATAGTTTAGAATTACTAAGGAAAACAGTTTATACATATTGGAGTAAAATTCTGTTTCTTCACATCTTTGTAACAGGGTAATTTCGTTGAAAACAACAGAGCTGTTCAAAGTTTGTACTAGCATAACTGAAGTAGAATCTGGCTGTTTATTTAAAATGCAACCTGAGCGTATTTGTTCTGTAGACAGTACTGCAGAACATTAAACCTTTAAATCATCTAGAAAAAAATGTTGAATTATCTCACATCACAGTAAACTTGTTCTTCAAGAAGCATTGTCAATGCTAGGCTTAGACACACATATGATCATATTGCTAAACACAGTGAAAAAAAATATAAATAGCCACACAAACACGGAGCTGTGGAAGTATTTTAATTCCAAACTGAATGTATTTGATGGAATAAACTTTTCTGCGATATTCAGAAGTGCTTCTAAAGACAATATCCATCAATACAAAATGAAGGAAACATAAACCATAGTCCTCTTCATAAAAGGAGCTCTTTTTATCTATAGGCCCAGAACACAGTCAAGTTAAAATGGAAGCAAAAGTGCTGCAGGATAAAATCCAACCCTTGCAGGTCTGCTCACGCTAAGAACTGCTTGTTGAGGCAAACACAGAATTTCTATTTCTGTATGTGAACAAAGAAGACTCTGTAAGAAGTATCAAATCAATGAACGAAAATTAGACTTGTGTGGTTATCATGTGAGACAAACTTACTTGGCAAGATCACAGCCAGAGCTCAATGATGAACAAGTACTCAGACTTGTTTTACGTGGCATCACCATCTCCACCTGCTCAAATTCTCAGTTTCCAACAACAGACTGATGCCCATCAGATCACAAGCACTACATGAAAACAAAACTTTCCTAGGTCTGTAAGAAAAAAACTTTTCTCAGTGCCAATCACCTTTGCTCTGGTCAAAGCTGACTGAAACACTATTTATTTATTCTTTAAGAAGTGATCATGCAAAATGTGCCTGTATCTACATGCCCTCCTTATAACCTAGGAAAGCATCAATAGAGAGTAACATTTCAGAGGAAAATTTAGCATGCACTAATATTCAGTGCTATAATAACATGCTAAATTAATTACTGCATTTAATAGAATTTGTTTTAAAAAAATGCTATTCTCATTATTGACTCAATCCCACTCACCTAGCTTTTGGTGCTTATAATAGTGCACTAAACCAGTGTACTAAAATCGTGCGCTAAAGTAGTGCTTGTTGGCAAGAGCAGTCCTACTGACTTTCACTACTGTTAACGTGAATCAGGAAAACGTGAGTAATGAAGGCTTGCAGAATTTGGCCAGAGTTTGAAATTCTAGCACTGGATGCAAGAACCTTTCATCTAAAAAAAGCTGAAATACATGATGAGTCTGGAACAAAACAAAAGGATGAAATAGCAGCAATAGAATGTGCTGGTCCTCTGCAGCTGCTGGTGTTGAATGCCATCCTCTGAGTTTCACCACACCAATTTATTTGATCTTTGAGCATGTCAGATTAAGTTTCACTTCAATTGCATAGAGCTGAATGTACATGCAACTACAATTCATTTTAACTGTAACTTCACAAATACTGAATATGGAAATATAATACTGTATATCACATTTGTTTCCTTTATCAATTTAAAATTTCACATTTGGTCTCCAGTAGACTAGGAAAAAAACACTAAAAATATTTCTTAGACTATTCCTGAGCAATGTTTTTATGTACTGTAAAATACTCTAGTTTATTACTACATTTATTAATATTCTCACATTTTAAACTACATATAAATCCATGCTTTGAAATTTTACAAAGCTGAAAATCTGGTAGGCACAATGAAAGAATAGAAACAGCTAAGCATCTTAAAACCAAGATGAGCTCAACAGGAGAAGTGCAATTTAACTATATACATAATGTACTCTTTAGTATTTGCTACTTTTTCATTTTCTACCACAATGTGAAGGATCCGCTTGTAAAATCTGGTCCGTCAGACCTCAGCTCACTTCTCATAAACAGTTCACTGTGACTGGTGGCTGACGATGAAGTTAATGCTGCTCAGTGTTTCATTTTAAAATGAAAGTACAAAACATCCTCTAGAATTTCATCTTTAACAAGATCATGTCCCCAGCTGCTGTGATTGATTTGAAATTGTAACAGATGAACTGACACTTGAATACTCACTGAACTATCCTACATATTCTCTTGTATCTCACAGACACAAGAGAAAACAGAGGGTCCGAGGACAGGACCCACTCCTGGTCGTACAATTTCTTCTGTAGGGTAGTTCCTCATGTCACTTCACTAAACCTTGAAACAAGAAGCCAAGCTAACTGAAGTAGACTGGACCATGGGATAAGTAATAGTCATCTCGGGTGACTGAAAATAGGTATCTTTTGTATCAAAATATATCTTTCCTTGAACTTACAATAGCCTTTAAATTCATCCCCTAAGAGTCTATTTTTTATGTTTTGAGAGGCTACCAGTTCTGCAAATTAGGCCCCAGAGTCTCTAGTAATACCCTCATTTTGCATTAGTCATATATATCCATGTACAATTTGAAATTGGGTCATTTCCTCTAAATGACAAAAAGCATCAAGGCTTACAAAATGAACTTCAAGGAAAGCTGTCTGTAAACACAGTGAAGATTTCTGGGTATAAAAATATGCATTCCATTTTCTTAATCTGCCACTATTGAAGTGCTCCCTAATAATTTTTTGTCTTAAAAAGAATCCTTTCTGCATTAAAATATTTCAAAACATTATCTCCATTCTTCTTATCAAAAAAATATCTAATTCATCAAAAAAATCCAATTCATCATCTTCTGTGAAGAATTAGAGTTTGACTTTGCATAGATAAGCATGCTCCATTATTCTATAAAAACAGTTGAGCCCTTTTCCATCAGGAAACACCACGATCAAACCTGTCTCAGAAAATAGCACATCTGTTCAAGAAAAAGAGCATGGATCCTATTCTTTCAAATACACCAAGGTAAGCATAAGAAACGCCACAGACTTCAATGGATTTCAACCGGTGCAAAGAGGAGGACATGTTATAATTACATATTTTCTGAACTTTCATACTCTGCTATTGTTATCTTCACTGAGCAACTGTAAGTATTTTTGAGGAAAGACCAATGGAAGACACTTGCCTTCAGGGAAAAGATTTCCTGCTGGCCTTGCTGGCTTAAGATCAAATGTATTGAAATGAACAGTGCTGACTTAGAACCATGCATCAAGAACGTATTTTCTCAGGATCTTCCTATGAGGAAAACATGACCCTTCTGTGTTGGCCAAATGCTTTCTAGCAGTCAAGAAGCATCAACATTTACTAACTAATTTTTCTTCATATAAATTTGCGTGATGTTTGCTTTGTGCCATTTGTTTTTATTTTCCTGTCCCCTGTTGGTTTTTTAGAAGGAACATAATTGTTGGCATTGCCATTTTTCTTTGGATTTGTACACGCGTATGTTTTTAAGCCTTTGACGGGAGCAGCTGAACTGTGAAATACTGGGGTTTGCTTAGGGGCTCTGATATTACCAACACTTTGAATCTTAGAACTGTTCTCAGAGGGCTGCATATTGAGAAGCTGTTGCTTTGCAGTTGGTTTTTTTTTCAGTTCACTCCTTACTTCACCAGATTGTCTCTGAGAAGACACTGCACATCCCATTCTCTCAGGAAGTTTCAAGTGACCTGGATGAGAATATAACTGGCGACTTTCTTCACAGTATGAATCTCCCCTGTGACCTGAATAGCTTCTGGGCAGCTTTGTAACACTTTCTTGGGGAACCACTTGCTTGTTAGGCAAAGGGCTGAGCAATGCTTTGCCTTTGCCAGGGCTTTTTAGGGTACGGATGGAGCCGGGAGCAGTCTGTGGTCTGGCTTTGGCTGCCTTTCCTTTCTCATTCTGTACAGTCTGCATTTGCAGCCATTCCAGCTGCAAAAGGCGATCAATGTATTTCTCAAGAAATCCTGTTGGCTTTGGTCGAAATTCAGTTTTACCCTCTACATTAACAAAGATGGCCACTTGCTTCAAGTCCCACGAGTTGAAAGGGGGTGGGAGGAAGTCTGGGTAGTAATATTCTGATTCTTTAAAACCCGTATCAGGGACATGTTCCAAACAAACCGGATCAATTTCTTCAGCTCTGAGAATGAGTTCTGGTGGTGTGCAGGGAGATGGGGGAATGGGAATCCTTTCTGAATCAGAGAGATCACTGGCACTATCATCTTCAGCATCTTCTTTAATAATTTGTACTGATTCAAAATCAAGAAACATTTCATCTACAGATGGTTCTCGCCATTTAGAAGAGCATGGACCAGCTTCAGCAACATGTTCTTCATGATTCTTTTCCAACTGTTCTTTTTTACTGCCATAAAAATGTTGCATCGGGCCTTCTTTAACCCTACAGAAGCTACCTTGTGTGCTGCCCTTTATGCTAGGAGGGATCCTGTGCAGGAAAGATTCATTTTGCCTTCTTTCTGGGAGACTCATCTTTGGTCCTTGTACTCTGTGCAGCGATGTGCAAACACTCGTGATCCTGAATGAAAAGAAAGATCATATCCTGTTAGAATGATTAATGTCTTTGGAACAACAGTTTACAAAGGTCTTGCTACCTCCTTCAAGGACATGGATCTACACGAATGAAGCTAAAATTGGCATGGAAACGTAGTAATGAGGTAAAAGTAATATCTGCTGGCAGAGATAACACTGCCTACTACTGATTTTTTTTGTTTTATTTTATTCTGATTTTGCCTGAGAACTCACTAAGTTCCCATATTGATAACTTAAATTTGTTGTCCTCATAAATGCTGAATTCTGGGACCAGTTAAGCCAAAGGCAAAACACAGAAGCCATGATTTCATCACAAGCATTTTACATACCAGTTTGAAATGTCTACAAATTAAACAGACAATCTTAACACAAAATTACCTTTTTGACTGAGCATTGTCATCCAGCTGGTTTCTTCCCTTCTTAAAAATACTTGGTTGGTTACCATCTTGAGTCTCATGGGAAATCTGAAAAGATATGAAAGTATGTGATGTTATGAAGAAAGCTGACATAAACTAAGTACCCTTTTTCTGTTTAAAAAAAAAAAGAATTATTTACCTTTTCAGTGGAGCTTGATACATTTTTGCCTAATCTTCCAGGAGAAGTTTTCACATGAGAAATTGGTTTATTTAGTCCTTTGGTGCTCAGATGGCTTTTTCCATTACTGTAACTAACAAGGATTAAACAGAATGTCACATATAAATAGCAACATATACGATCATCAGAATAGAAATACAATAAAAGTTTAGAGTGCAATTCAGTTTAAAAAAGAGAGAGAGCTGATTGCAACTATTCTTAAAGTTCATCAGAACTATGCCATGGTCACTTTTTATTTTTTTGTACTACTAAGGCACTACTATATTTTTAATACTACCAATGCAAAAGTTAATAATTCAATCAGATGACATAATAATAGAACTTAACCCTCATATAGAATTCTCTATCAGAGAATCCCAAAGTTACTTTGGGGATTATAAATAGTAAATATTAGAGACTACATATTTAACTACTGTTTTCTATAGTAACTGGTATATGGTCCTACTGCAATTTAAAAAAAAAAATTATAAAGTACAGTATGAAGGCCACTGCAAACCAAATCTTGCTTGCCTTTCTCATTTGCATACTCTCAACAAAATTTAAACGATTATTCCTATGAAGTTAAGGAGTGGAAGTGGGCAGGGAGCATACAATCTATTCTGATATTAATACAAACTATTTCACAGCAAAGGCACAAACAAAATTCACCATTTCATCTTATACTGGGGTTGTGGAAATATTAGTAGGAGAAAAACTCATATGCAAGCAAATGGATGGCCTTACTGATCTGGACCGCTTAAAACTAAAATACGTATTTCCTCAATTAAATCAGATACATTTCTGTGTAAGCACACAGAATCATTAACTCTGTATTCTGTAAGAATCAGAAAACAGTGTTTGTTCTACAGACAAGAAATACTACTAATTTTAAAAAGGAAAGCTTTAAAATGTCATTTTAGAACAGGAATAAGCAAACTGTGCCCTCCCGGTCTAATCTAGTTTGACTGCAGTTCAGTTAATTTGTCAGGCTGTACATCTTGCTCGCAGTTTTTATGTCTGTATAGTCAGATTTTGTTTTAAAAACCATGATTTAACCAATTCAAGAGCTTACAAAAGAATGAAAATAAGCCTTGTGCCTCCAGCATTGATGCAGTCACCTCTGTCACTTTGTGACCTGCACGATCATACTGCACAATCATTTCTGTTGCTGTGGACAACCTGAGCAGTACAGCCATGCACTTATTAACGAATCTACAGTATTTAGAGGTTTCTGTAACTAGAAAGACAGAAAATAATTTCCTTACTTTACCATTCCTTTGTGGTTTTCATTGATTTGGCTTTCCTTTTTCTGTGTCTCTCTGTGCAGTAATAAGGGATATTCTTGAATGCCTGGTCCCATTATTACTCTTTTTAAAGGGTATCTGCACCTTTATTGTTACATAATCTTCAAACGACTCCAGTCTTTTGGGTTCGCAAGGCACAGCGTATCAAATGCAAACATCACCACGTCCTAGAGATGCAGTAAACAAACACCATGCGATTCCTCCCAACGTGATTTATTTTTAAAGCAGTAAGACAGACGTAATCAGCTACCAAACGGTACTGGAAAACACTGTCCCCTCCACCAGCGCCCGCTTAATGGGAACCAGCACCGTTCGCCTTACTACTGCCGATCCGCGCCGAGCTGTCATCGCCCTGGGTACTGAGAGGAGAGCCGAGCAGCGAGGGCAGCCGTGCTCCCCCTCCCAGGGGCACAGGCTGGCCACTAAAGCTGCAGAGCGCCCCGGGCCAAAGCCAGCCAGGGGGGACAGGCGCAGGCTTTGCTGTGGGAAGCCCTGCTGCTGCTGCAGCCACCGGGCACAGCCCGTCAGTCAGCCCCGGTACCGCATCAGTGCCGAGGGAGGCTGGGCCAGCCACCCCGCAAACCACCGAGCTCTTGCCATGAGGTTTACAGGCCTGTCCCTGAAGGACCGCTGGTAAAATACAGTTAAATATCTGAAGGTACAGCAGCATTAGAAGAGCTGCTTTTCATTGTGTAATGTGCTCGTCATCGTTTTGTTCCTCCTGCGCAGCATTACATGTATTGACTGGAGCCAAGTATCACAGTCAAACGGCTGTGGGTGTTTCTGCTCTTAATTTAACAAGAGCAGCTGATCAACCACCCACGTTCTGTGCATGTTGAGCTGTCTTTTTTGGGTCAGAAGATGCGCTCTTCCTATATTCATATATGCAAATTTTGTATCAGATACTTAATTTTTTTCTTTTTCTAAAACAAACCTGTCGGGACTCATAAACTCCTACCAAAAATACTCAGACCAGAATCTGTAGCATTCCTTTATTTTCCAGAAACCGCACTCCCGTACCAGGGTGCGCAGATACGATTTGCAAAAGGTGACAGATGACTAGCACCAGAACACCCCTCTTCACCCACCTTTAGTTTTGTTGCAGTGCTCTTTACATATTTACACCCCTATTCGTACCTGTATCTACCTACACTTGATCCCGTCCCATTCCCTGGTGGCTCCCTCCCCCCCGTCCCCTTGGCCGAGGAGGGAGCGCGGGGAGGGTGCCGGCTCCCAGGGTACCAGATCCCCGCGGACCGGGACCCTCGGGTTTCGGCACAACGCACCGGCGCACGCTGACGGGGCAGCTCACCACCTGAAAAGGGCCAACGCGACGCCGCACCGGCTG